ATAGGATAAGCAATTAAGATTGTTAGATTGGATGTTCACCTTTGACTAGAGGAAGAAGTAACCCTTCATGGTGATATGAAAGCAATAATATAAGTTCCCTGGTTGGGGAAAGGAAAGCTTCACGGAACTGTGTCAGGTTTGCTTGTAATCGAGAAGATTCCCATTTTTGCAATTGCACAATGGCAGGGCCCTCTTCACCAAAGCTATAAGTCATGGCGCTTCTACTACAGAAGCAAAGAACATAAATCAACTTAAACAAAGAAGTGGATGTAATCAGGTTTTTACATTTTCTTATAAATCATATACAAGATGCAAGAAACATTCAACAGAACTTGAAGTGGTTAATTCTGGAAATTATATGAGGTTTGCGTTTTCTGTAAGGTTGGTATTATTTCTTTGTTATATTCGTTACATAAATCCAACATATATTGTGCATTAATATACTCTCATAAATTGTACAAATGAAACTATCTAACTGATAAGCTATAATCTCAGGGTCGTTGAATACTCGAAACCAAATCTAATGTTCTACTGAAATGGTAATTTAATTATTTGCATAAGTTTAATTCATCTTGTTTGTAAACTTTCTTAAAATAATAGATGGTCATGTTAAACTTCTAAGAAATTTGACAAGTAGAAGAGTTATGGTGATGAACTTGTTATTATATCCTTTTCATTTACATATTTGGGAATCACTAGGTTTAATTTCAAATCATCTGCATGCATCTATTTTTTAGTATAGCGACACACACAGATGCAACATCCTAGATATCATACATAACTTGGGGATGTGTTAAAGATTTGTTAGTTTCTTTCATTTCCATTAGTTCTGCTATACGTAGGAGTTGGGACCTTCTAATATTCTATCTAGTCTTAGACTTGTATAAATTGTGTTAAATCAGAAGTCGTTAGAGCAGCATTCATAAGTCTGCACAATTGTTGTTTGGGGACAAAACCAACAAAAGGATATGCAAACAGTTCATATGGCTCCCAGATATTGTAGGATTCATCACTGACCTGGTCAAAGCATTGGAAGTTTCTTCTAATTGGTCACTAATCAAACATATGAAAAAATTCACTATTTTCCTAGCAATGAAATATGTTATTGCACACACTGAAAGCCAACAAATGTGAGGCATACAAGTAGTAAGTCACTAGCGAAGTAGAATGCACTATACATGATTACCAACTAAAACAATACTTAATAAGACACTATATAGATAGAAAATATGAATATAAGATATAAGTAGCAAATATTGATGTTCTAAAACAAGTGCAGTACACTAGTAGTGTAGATGATATCAGATAAACAATAGATTTATTTCTAAAGGAGGAAAAAGGGAAGAAACAGAACCAGCATTATTGTTTCATCAATAACTCTTTAGTCTTTACTCTAGTGAAATTACAGTAATGAAAGAAACAGGAAAAAATTTCATCACATATGAGAGAAACCTTGAGAAAATAAGAAGGAATAAATGATCATCAGTCACGTATGAAGGAATTGCATATGCTTATGTACAATGGCTGTTACACCAGATGACGATGGTGGTGATCAGAGCTAGGGATGACTGTGAAGATGAGGGTGGTTGGAGGTTAAACATAGAATATTAACTAAAAGAAACCATGTAAACAGATGCTATAAGCCCATAACCTTAAAATGCTTGAAAAAAGCATGTAGGTTAAACAGAAAGAATTGAAGAGAAAAAAAAATATGATTTAGGATTCAAAGTTGCAGAAATGAATATCATCAAAATCTCAGTGTATTATTGAGTTGGTTTTTAACTAACAGTATTCAAATCTGTATGACTGTAAGCACCATACCACTTTGTTTGTTCAAATGAAGAAATATTGGAACTAATAACTTCAATTCATCTTAATAGTCTTGATCTGTATAAATTTCAAGCAATTAATTACTGAAAATTGTGCTATTGCTTATGAAGAGGCAGTAACACCAGGAAGAGCCCAACTAATTTGGTCAGGTCATGCCGATTTCATTACCAGTTCTAACAGGAATTTCATCCAACAGCTTATAATGCAAAAAATCAGTTTGAGAAGTAGGTAAACCAATTATAAATCAAATTATAAGAACTGTAGCATGAGAATTGACATTTCAGATTACACATGAGCTCTCAATTAAACTGAGATTAAGCAAATAGCAAGCATGTAAAATCAGATTAAGCAAATCGGAGTTCCTAAATCGGCAAGAAGCAACATAAAGTCATAAACTGTTATTGTGGTGTGTGTACTGTGTAGGATTGGAGATGAACGTCGTTACTCTAAAGATAGACCAAGATGGAGATGTTGCAGACGAGACTCACCTGCGCTGTGATGCCGATTGCCGAGACAAAATCCCTAAGAGAAACGAGACTCACTTCACTTCGTTGATTCAATTCAATAGAGCTTCATCGCTTATGGTTCGATCTTCGTCTCTTCGATGAGAAGGAAAAGCTGAGAGTCAGACGTCGTATAGCAAACAAAAGGGGATTAGAGGGTTGGGTTTGTTTTTTTTTATTCTTTGAGGGGCTGTTACTCTCAAAAGCTCGTTTTTAACTTATTACCGGTTCTATATCGGCATAATTTAAAAATGATGTTTTGATAGAAATACTTATATCAGTCTCATAGGTAATAAATCAAAATTCATAGAGTAAAACACCCCTAGCTTATCGGTTTATAAACTATAAGCTATAAATTGAATAATACTTGTGATTTAAAAATTGTAAGTTTAACCAAATACTCTTATAGTATATTAATAAATATCAAATATTCAAAAAATGTATATTATGGGTCGGTTTGGTTTTCAATAGGTTGGTTTCTAAAATACTAATCGTAATCGAAACTAACTTTTTTGATTTTTGAAATCAGAGTCCAAAATCAATGGTTTTGGTTTTTTTATTCAGTTTTTTGGTTTTGTTCACCTTTAGTTTTTACCTATAAGTCCAACATGCTTACAGTTATTTACTGATAATAACATGTACTTTTAACGTATTTTTTAAAATACATAAAAAAACATATTTTACATAAAATAAATACGTAAAAAAAGTTATGTGAAAATTAAAAAAAAATTATGAAAACGTGAAAATATGTTTTAGGATCATAGCAATATAATAAACATATTATATGAAAACGTTTAAAATACATTAAACAATACTTTACGTAAAAAAACATATAAACTTTTTGTATATATATTTTTTTACAATACGTAAATGTATATTTTTTTATTAAAAAAAGTTTTATGTAAAAATATGTTTTTTTTTGTGATTTTTTTATTATTTATGTTTTTACGATTTTACATAATATAAATTAGTTTTCGGAAATATAAACTAAGTTTACTTTTAGCTTAACACATTGTTCTCGAGTTTAACTTAACGAATGAAAAGAAAAAAAAAGGATGGAAATGAAAAGAAAATGTAAAAAGTTGTGTTTCTAGGTTTGGTTAAAAGAAGGAAGTGAAAAGAAACAAAATGATCATTTTCTATAATAAATGTACTTCTAATTTGGAAGGATTTAAACAAAATGTTTAATTTTTCGTTTAATTCTTTTCAACTCCGGAACACAAAATATAAATTTTTTTTCTTTTTATTTTTCTTATTTTCTCTCTTTATTTTTCACTTCTTTTATTTTTATTTTTTGTTAAAACTCGAAAACTAGACGTTAGGGTGATGGCTGATGAGGGGGAGGGAAGGAGGTCCCAAGTTCGAATCCTCCTCCCTTCATTTTCTTGCATTTCTTTTGTTTTCAAATAGATTACAAAAAAAGGTCCTGGTAGTTTATAAAATGTCACGAATTCAGTCTATGTTATACCTGAAAAATGTTAGGCACGTGACAGTGTGAGTTAAAATACCTTCCATGCAAGTTTTGCAACCCATGAGGACAATTTTTGTCAAAAAAAATTAGTAAGGACTGATTTTATGACCTTTAGTAAACTACATAGATTATTTTGGTAATTTTGTCTTTTTATATTAGCCAATTTTTTATTTTTTTATTTTTTTATTGAAGTGGAAGATTTTTACTAGGAGGAGGTAGGAACACGTGAGATCATAGAAGGGGAGTGGGGACACGAGGAAACTCACAAGGATAAAACACACGTGGAAACCACCGTGCACCTCTTTCTTAACATGCGCGTCCTTCCTTAATTTCCTTTTTCCTCATAATTTCCACCTCCAAAAGACCAAACTCACTCCCACAAATCTCTTCCCATCCCTTCGAATCGCCAAACCCTAACTCGCCATCGCCCACCATCAATTTCATCGACCTTTCTTTAGGTATTTTCGCAATTCTCTGTCTTTTTGTTCATTTACACTCTTGTACTCTGTTTTTTTAATCCGATTATCTTCCTTCGTTCTTGTAATTGACTCGGGTTTCGTCTTGCTGTAATTCCTGATCTTTTGATGGTGTTATTGTCAACTCATTCGATTTGGTATCAGTCAATAACGAAATTAGGCTAAATAACAATCTCTATGAATTGGGTATGTTCTTGTTGCTGCCCTCAGAAAATTGCATCCGTGAACTGATGAATTGGTTTGAAAATCGTCAAGTGCTTGTTTTAATGAATTGATATTAAATTATTTCCTGTTTCTTCTAATCGTCTTACAATTCTTGAAGGGTGAAAAGTTTATTTTGCTGGTTATATGCTCAATTAAGCTGCCGGTTTTCAGTAATTTAGTTCTATGAAACATCCTTTTCAGTTTGTTCTTTTTCTTTGTGAGAAGAAGCTGATTTCGATTCTTAATTTCGGTGAGATTTTGCTTATATTCGTCATAATTGTCATTAAATGATTCTTTTATGTCATAACTGTCAGTCATTCAATGCTTTGATACGACATTATCACCACCTGATAAAGCTTTAATATGGTACAGGAGGCTTTAATTGGAGGTTATTTGATCAATAAAGCTTCCATTTTTATTATATGATCGGTGTCTTCACGTAATTCCTTTAATGGATCGATGCGACACATCAGGATTTGTTAGCAGCGGTTCAAAGTGTTGATTGAAGAAAGTCCAATGGCTGACACCCCTTCATATTTTCCTTCCAGTTCACCTTCAAACGCATGCAAATGTATTCAAAAAGTCGTTAATGGCGGAATTAATTTCCCCTCAAGCTTTCACTCACTGGACTCCACTCAAAGCAAGAGAAAACGTAGCTTCATTGACGGGTGTTTGGATTTGCAAGCTGCGTCTTCCTTGTCTCTTGGGCTGGGTTGCTCTATAAACTCCGGTGTCACCATGTTTTCCGGCAAAGAAACTGAAGAAAATTCTTCCGGCAATCTTGATCTTACAATGAACCTCAACACACAGAACGTTGACCAAGTCAAACCATCAAGAATTGAAAGAACCGAAGTTGATCTTGAATTAAGTCTCGCAGGTGGTTCAATTGAATCTGATGTAACTGCTGTTTGTCAACCATCTTTTCCGTTCATGAATACTAGCAGCACCATGACCTCTGCCGGAGTTCAACTTGTTGACGAAGGCTCCACGTCATCCAGATGGAAATTACCCCTTTTGCCCCCGTTTCTTACTAAAGACCCTACACCGCTTCTTCACAATATACAAGGGTATAACGGTCCAAATTTACTTATTCACACCGCATCACCTTCATTAGATTCTGTATTATCCCAACAACAAAATCGACGTACAGGTAACGTGAAAGACTGCCGGTTCACCGGATGCACACGTGGCGCAAGAGGAGCTTCCGGATTCTGCATCTCCCATGGTGGCGGCAGGCGGTGCCAGCGAGGCGGCTGTCAAAAAGGAGCCGAAGGTAAAACAGTGTTCTGTAAAGCCCACGGCGGTGGTCGCCGGTGCGAGTTTCTCGGCTGCACCAAAAGCGCTGAAGGCCGTACAGACTACTGTATCGGCCACGGTGGCGGCAGACGGTGCAGCCACGAGGGCTGCACCCATGCCGCCAGGGGAAAATCAGGGTTATGTATACGCCATGGTGGCGGGAAGCGGTGTAAAGCGGAAGGGTGTACGAAAAGCGCCGAGGGTGTTACCGGTCTGTGCATCTCCCATGGTGGTGGCCGGAGGTGCCACTTTCCGGCGTGCACGAAAGGTGCTCAGGGGAGCACGATGTTTTGTAAAGCTCATGGTGGTGGGAAGCGGTGTACTTTTTTAGGGTGTACGAAAGGGGCGGAAGGTAGTACGAATTTTTGTAAAGGCCATGGTGGTGGGAAGCGGTGCACATTTGAAGGCGGCTGTTCGAAAAGTGTCCATGGTGGGACTCTTTTTTGTGTGAATCATGGTGGTGGAAAGCGGTGCGCGGTGGCTGAGTGTACAAAAAGTGCTAGAGGCCGGACTAGTTTCTGTGTTCGTCATGGTGGTGGCAAAAGATGTAAATATGAGGGGTGTGGGAAGAGCGCGCAAGGCCGAACGGATTTCTGTAAGGCACATGGCGGTGGAAGGCGGTGCTCGTGGAGCCAACCGGAACAATCTGGTGGTCAAAACTCAACTCCTTGTGACAAGTTTGCTAGAGGGAAAACCGGTCTTTGTGCTTCACATAGTCAGTTGGTTCAAGATGACTGGATTTCTGGACTCATGGTGGACCAACCTCAGCCGGTTATGGCGGAATACGGTGACTACGTGCTACCAGAAGGCAGGGTTCATGGCGGCAGTTTGATGGCTATGCTTAGAGGATGCACCGGGGGCCAGTCGGAACCGGGGGGAAGTCAGCCTATAAATGGTGGTAGGTGGGTGTAAAGTGAAACTTGTGAAGTCTCCTCCATTTTGTTTGGTTGTAATGTGTTGTTGAACATAAGGTTAGAGTGATGTATATAGGTTAGTGTTAGATATTGGTTGTGGTTCATGACTTCATGTGTACTTGGTGTAAACATAGTGTGAATAGTTGGTTATGTTTGGTAGGTTTGTTCCTGTTAAAATCTTTAAGTTCATAATATATTCATCATTTGGAATTGGAATTGGAAAGAGTTATTTTTTATCTTAAAGTGATAGCATCTGGTAAAATGTAGATGATAAACTGGATACTAAATGTAAAATGATATAAGAGATAAACTATATATAAGGGTATTTTCGAAAACTTGTGGAGAAATATTAATGTCTTAATATTTTTAAAAGGTTTGTTTGTAAATTACTTTAGTGATATTACCAACCCTTCTATTGCAAGAAACTCAAAACATAAAATAGTTTATGTACGTCAAATATAATCTTAAGGTGTATAGCATAGTTGGTTTTTTGGTAGTAGAATTGCAAACAAGTCTAAGATTGTTTGTTTTTGGGAAAAAACATTTTCAGACCTGTACGGCGCAACACACGCGCATCACTTTTCATCTCGCATCCGTTTGTTTTCAGAAGTCTTCGGATTAAAAAACCTCTGGGCGTGTTCTTCTTGGCGCAACACTTGTTTTGCCTCTTCCAACCTCTTCTTCGTCTTTTTTTCTTGCTAAAATATTAATTATATATTGATGAAATCTTATTTTTATTCTTGTTGATTTTTTTTATATTGAATAGTAATAATTTGTTGATGAAATATCATATTTTATGCTAAAATATCTTTATTTTTTTTGTTAAAATATCATTATTTTTGCTGAAATATTATAAATTCTTGTCGATATGTCATACATTATTAAATTTTCGGCATTAAAAAACTATTTTCGGATTATAAAATCAGTTTATTTTAATTTTTTAATATTTGCAGCTAGGGGTGTGCGCGGTACGGTTTGGTGCGGTTTAGCGTCAAAACCGCAGACTGCACCGCATGTGCGGTTTGAGATTTTCTGAAACCGCAAACCGCACCGCGAAGGTTGGAAACCGCATTATGCGGTGTGGAGCGGTTTGGTGTGGTGCGAGCGGTTTGAGTGCGGTTTGATAATTCAAAAAGTAATCGATCAAATATGAGTTGTTGTGTATACAAACAAAATCATGTTGTATAAAATTTTGATTGATCATATATATTATTGATTAAATTCTAAATGGTTCATAAAAAAGATTTAAATTTTGATTGGTCGTTAATTATTATTAATGATATAATTCTGAATGCTTTTAAAGAAGGATACTTTTTAACTACAATTAAAAATATATAAAAACTTGCGAAAAAGTTATATGATGGCAGTATAAAAGGTTGTAGAAATGGTTGTAAATGTGCATGGTATCATCCATTAAACGGTCAAATATATATATATATATATATATATATATATATAT